TTATGGTGGATCATGAGAATAATTGTCATTTTTTCTCTACATTGAACTCTGGATATAATTTTGTATCTGTTGAATGGGAATTATTCTGTGAAGATAAATGATAAAGGCGCCCGGAAAATGAAAATGAAAATGCAGCTCGTTAACAGCAACAAGCTGCATTTTTCTTTAGAAGTGTGCACAAAACTTTGTTCACTAAAAAACATAATTTCACAGTTATGGTGTTTCTATTAAATAAGAAATTAAAATAAAATTACGCATGAATAAGCTTGTTCATGGGATAAATCTTTAAAAGTCATGAGAGAAGCCGGCGTCTTAATCAGGTGTTGGAGCAACAAGCCGCTGATATTCAGGAGCAGCAACGTATGGGATGTTTTGGGTAAATTGCAGTCAATGATTTTACAGAAATTTTAGAATGACGACTTTCTATGAACTGAGCGATGCTGTGGGAACTGGATCCAGCTGCTAATTGTCCAAAATAACAAAAGCAATCCATCTTCCTCCTGTTACTTCCTGTCGTCTTGTCTGTTGTTTTCACCAGTAGTAACACCAACTTATTGATGATGTGACTGTTGTGAAAAAAAAGTGCTTCTGTTGCAGTTTTGACATTTTTTTCCATTTCATTACGGCTGAAAAATCTTGACAAAATGTTGTTTTTTAGCAAAAAATAAATTTTTCATAATTTCAAGGTGCGCATCTCTATGGTGAATGTAAACACAGCTGGTGACCACACAGACTGGACTCTGATTCTATTCTGTTTTTGTTTCTTCCTCCTTTCTTTCTACAGCCATGCCGAACCTAAAGCTGATATCTGCAACCGACACGCAGTATTCAGCAGCTGTCCTCAAGTCTCTGAACGAGCAGCGGAGCAATGGCTTGTTTTGTGACATCACCATCATCATACAGGACAAGAAATTCAGAGCGCACAAAACAATCCTGTCGGCCTCCAGCACGTACTTTCACCAGCTTTTTGCCGTCGCCGGACAAGTCATCGAGCTCAACTTCATCCGGCCAGAAATCTTTGAGCACATCCTCAACTACATCTACAGCTCCAGGATCATCCGCGTCCGCTCCGACATGCTGGAGGAACTCATCCGCGCCGGAAAGATCCTGGGTGTGAAGTTTATTGCGAACTTGCATTCGCCGCTGTCTCAAGTGAAAGGTCTGCCGGGTTTGTCCCAGGACACGGGAAACAAGAGCGACACCTCTCCGGAGACTATGCCCGTCATCACGGAGTCCTTCTCCATTTCCGCAGAGGAATTCAATCAGACAAAGAAACCCGCGGGAAGCGAGGAGGAGGGCGATGATGTAGTGTTCGTCTCCTGCACCGATGCTCAAACCAGAGCGGCGAGTCTCAAGGCCAACCCTTCTGACATCATCGATTTGGAAAAAGTGGAATCGGAAAACGTTGAACCCAAACAAAGCGAAGACTCAAATCACGTTGCGGCGGATGCAGGAAAAGAAGCCGCCACGCCAAAAACTAACGGCGCAGAGAGTCAGGTGAACAGTCCGGACCGCAGCTCCAGTAACTCTCCAGCGACACACGCCCAACCAGGCACCCTCACACCGGAGCCGACCAGTGAAAGCACCGACATATTGGGAGTCCACAAAAAGCAAGTCGCCGCTTCCTCCCAAGAGGGCGATCCCAAACTACGACTTCTGGATGTTTCCGGAGTCTCTGCTAGCAGCACCAAGGGAACTATAGAGGCGAAACAGACGGTGACTCTCGACACCGGCACAGAAATCGATTCGCTTTCATCCGAATGTAAAGTTTACGCCAACATCGGAGAGGACACGTACGACATCGTCCAAATGAAAGAAGACCCAGGAGAAGGAGGATCAAAACCCAACAAAGGGAAAAGAGCTTTAATGGCGACGCCCAAAAAGGCCTTCGACCAGACGCCACTGTCGCCGACACTCAGTCCGAACAGGAAGAAGAACAAAACGGAGCTGGACGATCACTATGAGCTGATCATGGATGGGAAGACTTTCTACGTTTGCGCCGTGTGCAAACGCCATATGTGTGCATCACGAGTCTGCGGCGTCACTTCAACACCCACTCGTGGGAGAAGAAGTACCCGTGTCGCTTCTGCAACAAGGTGTTCGCCCTGGCGGAGTACAGAACTAAACACGAAGTGTGCCACACGGGCGAGAGGCGGTACCAGTGCCTGCTGTGCAACGACATGTTCCAGAACTACCAGGTTCTGTCCCACCACTGCAAGCAAGTCCACAACCAGGACCCGAGCGGCAGGAAGCAGAAAGACGACGGAGACAACCTGTACCGCCTGCTGCCGTGCAGGTCGAAGAAGAAGTCGTACGTGACCGACCTGCCGGGAACGCCGTTCATATCGGAGGACGGCAGCATGCAGGAGATTAGCCCCGCCGAAGTGGAGGTCATGCACTCTTCGGCGCAGAGCGGGATGTACTGGGACGACCTGTTCGCCGAGCCGGGCACTCGCTTGCAGCCGGATGCTCACTTGCAGCCGGATGCTCGCTTGCAGCCGGATGCTCACTTGCAGCCGGATGCTCACTTGCAGCCGGATGCTCGCTTGCAGCCGGACTCTCAGTCGCCGTCGATGAGCTCCCCGACGCAGGGAGCCATGGAGTTCGAGTACATCACACCGTAGAGCCGCTGGGAAGCAATCAGTCCGCCGGATATCCTGTGCCTTCTCGGTTACGCTAACTGTGTTCGTCCTCCAATTCAGATCATGTTTTGTGATTAAATCTGATCGTACCCCAAATTAAAGCGACAGTATGCAAGTTTTATTTTTTAAAAAGTCGGTTAATTTACATGTTTGTTAAAGCTGTCAACATGTTATGATTGTATGAGACAAATCAGTCTCTGCTGCTGAATGTGCTAATGGCAGAGAAACAACTCATCATTACAGGAAAACTGTTTCTCCACCATCGTTGGTGGCCATGCTAACTAGCCTTAGCATTCATGATGGGCTCTGCTATTGGGGAGAAGCTTTAGGATAGCAGAGAAGGTGATTGACAGCACTAAGCCCCTCCTCCTGGCTCTGATTGGTTGTTTCTGACCAATCACTGGGAGAAGACAGATTATCTGTGTCATGACAGAGTGACAGTTTTAACAAACATTTAAAAACATTTTTTATATCTAAAAATTGCATACTGCAGCTTTAAGGTTTTTAGGAAAGTCTAAGTGTTCTTAATTTATTTTCTCGTTTTTAAAGGTTCAAAGAAGTTGAGGTAAAACCGCTTTAGCTTTTGTTGTAAATGTGAAACTTTGCCCAATTGTTTCTCAGTATTGTTGGAAAATTATGATAAAAGATGATGTATCCTTTAGAAAATCATTCAACATTTTTCACACCCGACTGTAAACGTCAGAGCACACAGTCACACACACACACACGCACACACACACACACACACACGTTTTCATGTTTTTCCTTCCAGGTAAATTAATCTGGTTTTAAACTTTGTTGTAACGTAGAAACTCTGAGTCTATAAATCATTGATTTCACATTGATTTGATCGTCCAACAGAATAATGTACCATTCAATTTACTGACTCTACTAAAAGTTAAAGATGAGACTTTTAAAAATCTTTATTAATCACAGAGCATGTTTCATGTTGAAATGTGAGATGAATGTATTTGTAACATTTAGGCCATGATGTCTAAAACGGTTCAACACTGCTGACCGATGACGGTTTCAATAACCGTTTCATTTCTTTGTCAATCCAGGCGTCTTTTTTGTGTCTTCTACCCCAAATATACGTATTTTACCGCGATTTTTTTTTTTTTTTTTTTTTTTTTTTTGTTCTTAAAGAAAATGTGTTAAATACAAATTATAAATGCAATAAGATTGTTCAGATATTAAATCAACTCAATGCTTCACCTGTTAATAGGACCTTCTGATGATGATTTTAGGATTTTTTGTTTTGTAAAATATATTTTTTCATGACGTCATTGTTGCCACATCTGGGTCTTGTGGCAGGAAAATTTGTACAGTTTCATTGGATTACTTACATCGTGGAAGATGGATTTGTTTTGTATTGTTTTAAATGTAAAGGTAGGAATTTTAACTGAGATTTATTAGCATTTCGCACTTAAATTTCCAGGTGTTTCTTTTTTGTTTTGTTTTTGTTGTTTAGTTTTTTTTTTACATGTCAGAAATTAGAACCGTCTTCTTGCAGGTAAAGGTAGAGCTAAAGGTTGAAACCAATCTGTCTTGTTTTCAGATTAAATGCTACAGATTGTTTTTCAATAAATGGATTAACTATGTTAACGTTTCATTGTGTAATATGCTTTCTTAAAAACTGTTAAAGTTTAAATTTGCAGCAGCATGGCCTTAAATAGAAACCAAAAGGCCTTTAGGTAATAAAAAACTTTTTTTATGAATAATTGTGGGAACAAAACTATTTATGAAGATTTTTAAATTTTTTTTAACAATACAAAGAGTTGTGTAAATTGCTTAAAAACTCTAAATCAGATATTTTGCATTATCTGCTTCACTTTACTTAGATAATATAATCAGGCTTCGTTTGGGAAGTTCCTGAATTTATTTCAGGTGCTTGGAAGGTTTGCAAAGTCCTTGACATTCAAACAGTTTCATGATTAACTACTACCTACCGTTTAAAAGTTTAAACTTGGAAAGCGTATTTTACAGTTTGGACCAGATATTTAAAGATGATAAAACAACATTTTAATCCTCACCGTCTATAGTTTGGTGTTAAACTTCCCTTTTTTTAGGTCAGTAAAAATAATCTAAATTACTTCTATTTGCTAAGTTCCAGAAAACATAGCGAGGAAATATTTGAAATTTTTCTTGCTATGGGATATTAAAATATATCATTAATAATAGTAATAAATGTGTAACAGTGAATTAAAACTGTATCCTTTGGTTTGTGTCATTTTTGTCTCCAAAGCTGAAACATTACTTTAATTTTATTGTGGGAAAAGTGTAAAAACCCAGTTTAATCAACAGTTTCTATTAAATCTAATGAACCCCATAAAACAAGCAGATCGACCAAACCAAAGATCAAAACCAACATTTTTTATTTGGAATATCAGCAGAGATCTCTGGACAGTCACACCGTCAGCTTTGGTGAAGCAAAAAATACCAAAAACAACGTGAATCACAAATAATTTATTGGTAGAAAGAAACGTTCATCTGCTCCAGACTGACTTATAAACAAGAGAAGCTGATGTGTGTTTACACTTCAGCTTCTTTAAACCAGATCAGTGAATCCAGCACTGATTGGAGAAGACGTGATACTGAAATGGGAATGATGTTGCACCAAACTCCAGCTGGAAAACCAGCAGGACTCGGTGACTAGTGAGAGCAAAACGAAGCAAATGCATCTCAATACAGCAGAATGTGTTGAAAATGTGAAATACTGGCCATTTAATTCAATCTTTGTTTATTTATGATGATGCAATGAGTCCAATATTTCCACCAAGAGGGAGAAAGTCGTCAAGTTGGAGTCTTTTATTATTTAAATAAACGTTTGATGTTCTTTTCATTACTGTATTAGCTACTCAATAAAAACTCAATTAAAATTTCATTAAAATGAGCAAAATGGAAGATCGTTGTCAAAGGTCCAGAGCTTCTAAATTGCTTGGATTGTTTTCTTATATCAGAAGTAAAATTTGTTTTTGGGAAAAAGTTGGTGAATGTTTTTGGTTCTAATTACTCAAAAATTAAGATTAATTTAAAAGAAAAAAAAAAACAATAAATGCAAATCTATTTTTTGTATATGATATATTTTTAAGATGTTATGTAGCTGTAAAAATTTAGAACAAGGATTCATCAACCATTTAAGCAGATTTGCTCCATTTGGACCGCCAAAAGTCCTTCAGAGGATCGCAAATGGTCCCCGAGCCGCACTTTGGACACCCCTGTGACAATGGATTACATCTAATGGAACTTAGAATGTAATTTATAGTAATTAAAAACCAGAAATGTAAGCCTGTTTCAATATATTCTCATGTCCTGTATAGTTTCTCTATGTGGTTCTGATCAGGCCCGTTTGATCCAAACAAGTATCACACTCTTACTAAGGCCATTAATGTAGGTATCATTAATTTGGCAGTGTGGGCAAATACTACATCCTACTGGCAGATGAAATCAGCATCTCCAGTTATTCCTGTTGCTTCTTCAAGAACATCGCTTTTTCTTCCACTAAACTTTCCATTAATGTTTGGGAAGTTCATCAATAATCTTGTGTAGCCTGAAGGTGATCTGTTGTGCTTCCTTGAACAGGATAGAATCTGTCTATGTGTGATACAAAACATGTTCATTAAGTTTTCTGTACAAACTCATTAAGATAATAACATTTTAATCTGCTCAGTTTTGTCCATTTCACAATGAGCCGTTTTAGGGCGTCTTGTCACTTTAAAGCTAAATAAGCTGCTTCTGGCCACGTTCCCAACTCAACATTTACAGCTATGGCTGTAGACAAATGTGCAATTGTACAACTGTGCGTCTTTGAAAAGCAGAAGTGGCACCTCCTGCACAACCAATGAGAATGCAGCAAGTGCTTTCCGGAAAATAAGTCAATAAGAAAACCTTTGTCTTTTACAGACAGTGGTAAAGCCAGCTGACCAGACATGCTGGAGCTCGGCTTGGGTTGCTAGGTAACCAAAGAACAATTACATGTTTTTTTTAAGTGTTTGTGTTTTTTTTAGAAGCAATTGAGACCCAAAAAGAAGCTTAAAAATATGCAAAATGTGAATTTTGCATTCGTGACAGTGACATAAGTCAGCATTAAACAATGTTTTTGTGCTAAAATTTTGAATTTAGTTCTCAAATGTTATTTTAGAGATAAAGTTTTGTGTTTTTATGGAGATTTTTGAATTTATTGAGATGCATTTTTATGCATTTAAACGGATGATGTGTTCAGGTTATTTTAAATTTACACCAACCAGGTCTAGGAACAACTTGATGGATGGATGGATGGATGGATGGATGGATGGATGGATGGATGGATGGATGGATGGATGGATGGATGGATGGATGGATGGATGGATGGATGGATGGATGGATGGATGGATGGATGGATGGATGGATGGATGGATGGATGGAATCAGAAGAGTGTATTTCTGAAGGTTTTTCACTTTCAGCAGGAATTCAAAGTTCCTGATCCAAACAGAACAGAAGTTTATTCCTCTTGAACATATTTAATCAGATCTGCTTCACAGCTTTTGGTAGAAATAGAATAAATAGAGTTAAATGTGTCTCCTCAGCAGCTACTGTAGTAGATTCAATAGTTTATTTCCTGAATAGCGTTGCTGTTCACCACACAGAGGAGAACAGAAATAAATATCATGATCTGCTTCAGGCCTAGCTGTGCTGCTAACTACAACATGCTGCTGTACAAACATAAGCATGTAACACTTTCATTAAACATTTCCTTCTAGTTGCAGTCAGAGACGTTTAGGAACCAATTCAGAAACAGTTTGTTGGATTCTCAACTTGATTCCTATCTGGACTCCGAAGCGATAAAGTCTCTTTCAGTGAATTTCTTCTGCTCCAGTTGAGGCAGAAAGGCTTGTTTTTTTTAGTTTCCATTAATGACACGTGAAGAACATATGAGCTGGAGGAGAGTTTCTGTACAGGAGAAGAGTCTTTAAATGGCGCAGTGTTCAGAGTCCGTATGCATTAAGGCAGATAGATGTGTAAACAAACCTGCCGGGCAGCAGGCTGCGTCTCTCTCTCAGATATGGACGCACAGAAACGGCCAGACCGAGTCCCAGCGCTAGTCCTGCTAGCCGGCGCCGAGGTCGTCCTCCCCTCGCTTATTTTTCCTTCAACGCATTGTTCAGAGTTTGTGAAGAAAAGCCAGCAGAATCTGAGCGAGAGGCTCCTGACGGGTCCTTAGGTGTTTCCATGGCCTGGAGCCGGCCTACGGGCTGTACGGCGGCGGTTTCTCGTCGGGGTGTTCGTGAGGCGGGGAGTAGCGAGGAGGGATCATGGTGGGCCAGAGGTGGCTGGCTCCAGACTGGGAGTCATCAGAGAGGCCTGAGGAGTCCGGGAACGGGAAGGGACCCTGCGTGCAAACAGAAAAACACTAGTCACCATTTACTCAGTTATATCTACTTAAGTAACTTTAAAAAAAATGAACTTCTAGGAGTAGTTTTACTTTTACTTGAGTAATTTTATTATGAAGTATTGCTACTCCTACTTGAGTAAAATTTCTGGATTTTCTACCCATCAAATGAAAAACTCAAAAAAATTTCAAACCAAATTCAATATCTAAAATATTCTTCAGAGTTTTTCTAGATATTGGTGGCAGTTGGCAGGAAATATTTCCTGTAGCAGTCTGTGTTTCAGCCTCTAATTAAAGACACCTCCATATAAAGGATTAATACGTACACATACAAAACAAACAAACTGCAGGAGTGAAACCAGTGGACCAGAAACTCAGCTTGGGTTGTTAGGTGACGGCTTATGAGGTGAGGATCAGTCCCTCCTGTTTTGTGACGTTGCATTACAATCACGAAAGTTCTTGAAATGTCTCGGTTTCCACACAGCAAAAAACATACATTTATTGAACAAAAAGAAAAGGCTGGATGTTTTTAAAAGCAGTTAAGACCCACATGGAAGCACAAAAACGTAAAAATCTGCATAAAATGTCGCCTTTCTAAGAAAACAACACATTCACCAGGGAGCCATGATGTTGAAACATTTTCATTATAAATGAAAAATAATGGCCGCTGGAAATAATCTATAGCAAGCTTCAGATATATTTGCATGAACTATATCAGTCTTGATGTAGCAACTGATGTGAATCTATGATGCTGTCCGCCATGTTTTCAGGGTACCTGCAGGTCGTAGGCGGTGTAAGGCGGCAGGCAGGGGGCAGTGTTGTGGTACAGGTTCAGGGAAGTGGTGGGAGGAGGAGGAGCAGGAGGGACAGGAGCAGCGATGGCCTCCGGTTCAGATGTCGTCTCTGAAGCAGGAGCAGGCATCTGACACAAAAAACAACACAAACTGGGCTTTATTTACTGCCATCGCCTTCATTATACTAACACTGCCAGAAACAAGAAGAATAATAAAAAATCCAGCTCTTAAAATCCAGACAAATTACTATTATTACTGGCACTTCTAACAGTTTCTGTACAGGAAAATTACACTGAATATTTTTATTAATTCATAACAAGAGATTATTCCACTTAAGTAAGACAGATATGTTGATATCAGTAAGTGAGAAAATCACAGGATCACAGCTACTTGCCTAAACCTGCCCATTATCTACAATCACAGCATTGATAATTCATTTAAAACATCTGGAAGAGACAAAGAAAGACACTTTTATCACGCAGAGAGCAGGAAACTAAGAAATATAAAAAATCTGCAGCAAAAAGTGGCATAAGCCTTTATAATTATTAGATGCTAGTTATAAAGTTGTTTTTGAGACATGTCAGAAAAAAACATTTCCTGTATTACAATTACAAATTTATAAAATCTGCTAAGTGCTTCCCAACGTAAATGGAAGGTAAAGAAAAGTACATCTGATGATCACATATCTGTATGGCAAATAATAAAAAGTAACTATCTGACCATGATTTGGTGGATAATGACGCAAAATGTAATGACGCAGAGTCATGTCAACACAGAGTTTTGACATGACTCTGCGTCATTATATTTTTAATCATGGAAATAAGACAAATGTGAAAATGTAAGGAGTAGAAAGCACAGATATTTCTCTTAAAATGTAGGGAATCAAAGTAAAAAGTCGTCAGAAAGATAAATACTTGAGTAAAGATCAGATATCAGAAAAATCTATGCAAGTTCTTTTCCTTTTCGACCTTTTATCTTTGCCTACCATGTCCTTGAAGCCTCCCAGCACAGCTGCAGTGATGATGCCCAGAAAAAGCGCCACGATGTTCAGGATGGTCGCAGACCACAGCAGGTAGTAAAGGTGCACAACGTCCTGGCAGCTTTTCACATCTGTGTATTCATGGTAGCCTCCCATCACTTCAGCTCGGCTGGGCCGGTGAGTGGGACAGAGAGGAGACAGCCTACCGTCAGGTCACAAAGGTCACTGAGAGGGTCAGTGATCGGTTACTCTTCGGTTATCAGCAGGAAACTGTTATCAGGTTCTGATTTATGGTTGCAATCGTGGAAAAGAGTTTCACTGAGGCTTTGAAAAGTCGAGCAAAACTGAAATGGATGGATAAATGTAACGTCAGCCACAACAGAACATGCAGAGATGAACTGAACAACACTTTTCTATGATGGTGTTTATTGTTAATAACGACTACATCTACATGGAAAGAAGAATGCTGAACTGATCTACAACGGGCAGGATCGGTCTGGAAAAGGGACCTACTTCCAAATCATGGATGACTTCCTAAACTTTTTCAAAACATCTTTATTCTGAAGTCCCATAAGAGGTTCTCTGAAACAAAAGTAAAAAAAGAAAAGAAACATTCTTGTTCTGATACAATCAAAGCTGCAATGCAAACAAATCTCCCGCTGAAAATTAGAGATGCACCGATTTGACTTGACTGGCTGATTTTGACTGGCATTTCATTTGGACAGATTCAAGTTCAGGTTCTTTTTAAGCACTTAAACATATAAGAAAGAATAAATAAAGACATAATGGAGGAGTTTGGACAGAGGTAGTAGTTTTGAATCCAACAGAAAATGAAGGAAGATCAAGAAGATCCCATTTTTGTGAGCGAATTTCTAACCTTTCCTGACTTTCTTCAAACTCAGAAATTTGTGAGCGTTCTTGATGTCTGACAACCACTGAGGCGATCTTTAAATCCAACATCAGGCCACTTAATTGGTGCATCTCTACTGAAAATCGAAACAATAAAAGTCGCACTTCTAACCACGTAGCCACAGTTTTGTCTTCGTTCATTTCAACCAAAGTTTCACTCACCTCCCACAGTTGTAGAGGTCACAGCAATAACAGGTGTTGCTCTTCACATGCAGCTTACACGACGACCGAGACGTGTGGCACGGCACCTGAGGGTCACAAGCTGTTTTCAGCACCTTCACTCTGCATCGCTATGGGATGCGGCAGCCTCACCCAATTTAATGAGCACTTAGTGCATGAAAAGGGAGTGAGATATAATAATAAAGGTGTCTTACGTCCAGCTCAGATGCAGAATCACTGGAGAGATACCCACAGCGCCCTGCATGCAGAGGCCTGAGGTCCTGCATGCAAATCACATCGCGTTGGACTTTTTCAAACAATAAATTAGAATAAAAAGACAAAAAAATTACTTTAATAAATATCAAATATCAATGACAACAAAGCTAACCGCAGTAGGATAAAGAAACCTCAGCTACTGTTGGGTCATTTATTTCACATTACGTTTCAGCAATAAGTAATTTAAGCTCTCGGAAGCCGACTATGTTATTCTAATGGGAATATTATTAAGAAACAGAAATAAAACATGGAGAAGCAGCATTCAGTTTTTATGCTCCTCTAAACTGGAACAAACTTCCAGTAAACTGCAAAACATCCGAAACACAGAATTCCTGAAAATGAAGGAACTCTGTCTAAAGCTGCCATTGGGACACTGATCAATATATTTGATATATTTAATGATGGGATTTGACTAAAACCAATGTTTACTGGTGTTTCCTAATTTGCTACCACACAATGTTTTTAGAGTGTAACAACACACTGCCTTGTTGCAGAAACAGGCTATACAAATAAACTTGACTTGATAAATCAGATTATAAACAACAGACAGGCGTCTTCTGGTTTGTTTGTCTCTGGCGTTCTGGGAAAAATATCTTTAGACCTGCATGTTCAGCCTTGTTTGGTTTTTTAAAGAGTGAAAAATGATCAGGCTCAGAGCCGGACTTCTATTTTTATTTACTCAACTCTAAAACTACAAGTGTTGTAGAAACAAACACTTATGGTTTTTATGTCTATTTGTGACACCAAAATAATAAAAAAGTATGCATGACTGGAGTTTGTTCATCTAATTATAGACAAACTACAACTAGGATGGTAGTTATCAAACTTGTATTAAAATTAGGTTGATGGCAACAAGGCCTTCAAACTCCAAAGGACTAAAGATGAACCAACAAAATACCCATAAAACCTGCTAAATGTTTTTCCAGTAAATATAAGGAACATTTCATTGAGATAGAGTCACTAAAGGTTTTTTTATTATTTATTTTGAAGGATATAAATCATTTTCTGCAGGCCTATTCTGTTAAAACGTGCTGCTTTGTCATCCTTAGTGATGCTCTTGTCTCGTATTGGCTTACAAGAATTATTATTAATGTGAATAAAATGTTATAATTTAGGGCTAAACCTCATATCGACCTCTTTTGATGTGCTCCAGTTCTGAATTTGTGTGTATTGGTATCACCGCTTTGATATTCACGTGTCTGCTGTGTTCGGACAGTGTGTGTTACCTTTGCTCTGGTCATATTTAAGAATAAATTACAAACCTAGGAATAAAATTAAATGCCAGATCAACGGCATTTAATTTTGATGCCGTTGATCTGAAAATAACCAGAAATAATTTCTGGTTATTTTATTGGCTAAAATAACCAGAAAGTAGGTGGAGCCATCAGCTTCACTCTCAGTTTCAAGCATCCTGCAACCTGAGGTGAGTAAACAGAGTGAGATTATGTAATATTATTACTGTGATGTTTTAAGTTACATCTACATTGATTCAGTAACAGTGACCAAACAAACGGTGTTTCCTATCATGTTTAATTATTTTTCTGTGCCACATAAATGAAAATAAAACACCAAAAAGTGCGATTAGTGACATATGCAAGTGTTTTCAAGGACTTCAGAGTAGAATTGCTATGGTAGCGCTTTAAACATGTCTGACTGGCAGGATTTCATTAGACCCTTTCTAGTACAAATGTGATAAGGTTTAAAATCTAAAGATGAATGCGATGACCGTCAGTGAATGGTTTTAAGGTTTATCTTTTATAACAAGTTCCCTGTAAAGTTGAGTGTAAACTTACAAGAATCATCCATTTTACTGGCAAATAAAGATCCATTAATGGAGACGCTCCTTTTCACTCAGCCGTGTCATTATTTCAGCACAATTGCATCAAAAGTGCATTAGAGGTTACTTTGCATCATGACGGCTAATTTAACCCACAGCTAAATATTTTTTACTGCGGACAGAACTTACCAAGCCTTTGTAAGACTAACTCTAGTAGCTTTAGCTAACATGTTGTTTGTTTTGAACTAACATATAAAATTATTGGTTATACTTACAATGTGCCTCGCTGCAAAGACTCCATCAACAATAGCGCAGCAAAAGGCGGCAACTGCTCCGAAACTGATGAAGACAATAGATGCAACTAACTGTGGAAGGAAACAGAGACGCATCAGCTTCAGGATAACTAAATGTATTACATTTGTTTTATCAGCGCTTGAGCACTTAGTAGTTTTTAAATAAGACTCCAGAGCCAAAGAGAATCGTCCCAAGAGGCGCCACTGATTAGAGATAAACTATGTATTGCCAATATCTTGTCACTGAACTTTTGATTTGATCTTTTTGCAAGTTTAACACATTTATTAATAGAAATAACACATTTTTAGGTTTAGGCATTGAATTTTTGGGTAATTATTCCCTCTAGTTTTGAAAGCTGTGCACCTGGAAAGATTTCTGCTCTTAATGTTTTACTTTATGATGTGTAACTATGGAAACAAGGTAATGCTTTTTGTGTTTCGTTACAATTAAAAACAGCTGATCAGCGTCTCAAATGCTCAAATAATATTAAATCCCAGAGGAGTTGAAAAGGAAGCTTCATGGATGCAAAGTGTTCTAGTTACTAGTGTAAGTGTTGCATAAATGCATCTACATGTTAATGTAATATTTAGCCAGTTGGACAGAGTCTCTTGGACCCAGAGGGCTAAAGGTCACACAGTGTAGGAGTACAGATGAAAACATCACAACGGATATCGCCATCACAAGATATTCTAATCCAATCACTGATTGATGCAAATCATTGTGCATTGAGCATTGAGTTACACTCACTCCTGTTTACATAAGTTCTGCATTGAAAGAGGAAAGAAACCCAAATGCACCACTTACTGAGGACAATGGGAGAAACACAATCAAACAAAATTAATGGATCTCAGTGGCACTTTAGAAATTAGATTGGATCTTTTTTGTCCTGCCAGCTTCCTGGCACTCTGTTCTGCATGTTTCAGATGTTTTCCCGATGCAACACGCGACAGGCGGAGGAGTAAATTATGTCAGCAGCTTGTCATCGACTCCAAGCAACGGCAACCAGGTTGACTGAAGCACATCAATAAATAGAAAATAAATAAATATGCTAAAGTTTCCTCAAATAATTTATTATTTATGTGTGTCTACAGAAACCATGTCCTGGATTTTCAATGGATGAATGGAACCGAAGGAAGCAGAAGGAAAACTTTTTATTATTAATATTTTTGGTTTTTATAAAGCATAAACCTTTAGAAAACAAGGAGAATGTCATGCAGTGAACTTTTTGAAAATTGTACCAAATGTTATTGGTCCAGTTTACAGAACAGATATCTCAATACACTTCAAATAAAGCTAAACTAATTTACAAGTAACTTTTCAGAAAGACACAAGAGCAGAAACAAGACGTTTTAAATAAATAATTCCTTAATATTGATGAAAAACTGCCAGTCCCACAAGATACTTATATTTATACCAAGATAAAATAATATTTTTTTCATTAATATTAAGATATTATCAACTTGCTGAAAACTTTCTTTTATGTCAAGAATAATAAGATATTTGCAATAGAAACTTGGTAAGTTTTTAGAATTTTGTTTTCACAGTAATACTGTAAACTATCAAAATAAACCTCCCCTTGCAGCAGTGGACAAAAGAAACAGGCCTTTTTGCCATTATTATAATCAAAAAAGCAGCACATAGTCAATATATAAAAGTAACATAAGAACAGCAGACATAAAAAATGTTCCAGCTACATGTTTAAAGGAAATGCACCTTCAATTGTGTCAGTGATGTTTTAGTAAAAACAACTGTTTCTTGAGATGGGATTTGTGATCAAGTTTAAAGCTTTTTTTGCTTCTGCAATAAATGTAATACTTTTTATAAATCTTTAGCAGGGATGTAAAACATATGGCTGCTGAAGCGGTAGAGATAAAGCTACAAACCATTAAAATAATGACGATTATACCAGCAATCCACAAATTGCACTCAAGTAAAAGTAGCACAACTTCAACATAATTTTACTCAAGTAAAAGTAAAAAATGTAAAGTTATTTCCAAATTCTGGTATTTTAAAGACTAAACAAGCTTTTGGTTTGGATTTTGAACTTTTTCTCCTGCTAGAGGTTTGAAACGATCAACTTGAAATTTCCCCATGTACATCATTTAGCTAAGAAAAAGAAATTACTTTATATAGATTGCAAATACTGAACACATTACTCAAATGAAAGTAAAATGATCAGTGTCCTAAAAGTAAACTGAAGTAAATACCTCTGCAACAGTCAAGTTCAGTCATCTGGCCAGATGGTGCAAACCTCCAAACTGAATACGTATCTATTTCTCATGTTTAGGAAAAGATGTAAACAGTCTAGACGTGCCACCTGTCATCACTTTTTATGTAACCCGCAATAACATTTCACAGCAGTGGAATGCAATGTGCTGCGGCTCAGTTTGCTGTATCACTGGACCGGACCTGCTGCTGCGTTATAGGCAACGGCTGCCACAGCATAAAGCCGTCCATCAGCTCTGACGGGCCGAACCTGGCACCTCCCACCTGTTCTGCTCATCTGCAGTTTCCTCCCACCCTCATTTTGGCTGCAGACATCTGTCCTCCTCCATTTACAGCCCGTTTCTATTTCTGGCTGCGTTCACCCTCAACTCACCCCTCAGAGTCCAGTTTATTTGCAACAGTACGCAACGCAAATCTCCTCAGCCCAGTTTGGCCTCACAGGCTCAACTGGAATGGATGAAAAGGACCAATAAACACAAAACACAGTGGAAATACAGGATGTAAATCCTCTTACCATCTGCCTCTTGTTCTCTATCAAATGAGCACCGATGATTCCCAGAAAAGAGCCGAAGCCGAGCTAGAAAGAAACAAAATATTCTGTTACAGATCGTTCATAAGGTGCTGAATTAGAGCCATATTAGATAGAAAAAACCACAAAAAACAGGTGCTAATTTCTGCCAAAAAAGGCTGAAATTTTGAGATTAATCTCAGAAATTTCAAATGTTTTTTGGGGGGTTTCTTTTTAGAAAATCTGTCACTTTTCAAACAAAAAATTTAAAATAAATGTTCCTAAAACATTCTGACATTAATTTAAAAATTTCTGTTTTCTCTGGAAAATTCTTGACTTTTCAAACCAAAAAAAATAAATAAATCTGAGATTAATCTCAAAATTTCTGAGTTTTTCTTAGCAAATGTCTGACTTTTCAGAATTTTTCGTGGAAAATTTACACTTTCGGCTGTGACAGTTATTAAACTATCATACAAAAATAATCCTCAGTCAGAGGCTTCTTCAGATTGGTTGTGAAACTGACTGCTACTGGATATCCTTCCTGCCCAAACCATCACCAACCCGGATGATGCAAGTTACAACAACACTTTTAATTTTAATAGGTAAAGTATTTTTTTAACTGAATTAACTTCATATTGCAACACAGCAACAGTCTTCAGTCAGAGGCCTCTTCTGATTGGAGTTCCTTCTTGATCACAGCATCACAATCCACAACAAACCGTTAAAGATGCTTAGATAATATAAATTATGACAATCTTCAATATAATTTCCCTTTGAGATACATGAAGTGTTACTCGTATTGAATATCAATCAAATTTGACTTCATAGTTTCAAAATTAATGTTACTAAAACAGTTTGATTCAGATGATCGAAACGTTAAATTCACAGAACTCGATCTGAGTCTTTTAAATGCCGGAAACAAATTTACCGACTGGAAGACTCAGACTTCATCCAGCATCTAATGATTGCAATACTGAATAATGAATGCAAAACACTCCCTTTGGGGAGCTGTGTTAATGAAGTTTGGACTCCAGGAGTTGAAAGGATTTGCTGGAAACAGCTTAGTCTCGTTTGCCATGTTGTTTCTGATGCTTACAGCGAGGTATTTGAACTCACAATAACTCCTGGGTAGTAGCCTCCCACAGTGATGTTTTGTGTCCGGGTGGTCGCCGCCAGGCCAAAAACGAGGATGAGAACAGACACAATGAGCAGCATCACCGTCACTGTTATGGATTTCCTCTTTCTTCTCTTAAAGGATCCTATAGATGCAACAACAAAACCAAATATTACCAACGAATCGCCATGCATTTGTCACATGCTGATCAAAAGGTTCAAAAGGTTAGTCTTTGTCTTACAATCCTTGCAGAAAATCACAAAATGTTTCTTTCCCTGCATTTGAAGGTCTGTTCTTTGCATTTTCAGATGTCGCACTAAAAAGAGCTGTGTGAGATTTTCCAAGATTTGGGTTTATGTTTTATCCATCTGAACCAACCAGTTTTTTCCTCAAAGCCTTGCATGTTTTGATTCCAGACCTTTTTCTAATAATAAATGAGTCATTCTCCTCTGGAGTGTTCCCACAGACTGTGGTAATCAAAACCACTTCAGAAAAAGAAGAACCTGGACTTATCAATTTTCAATAATGTGCCACTTCTGCCTAAAATACTAATTATACTTCCTTCTAAAGGTTAGGATAGATCTATGGGTATAGAAAACATATTTTGTACATTTTTTGCACAAAATCATTCTTAGATAATGAGATTTTAGTCTGATCATTTCTGCCTATTTGAGCTCCTTTCAGAATGAGCTCAACGTTTTCAATCGCACATAAAAATAACTGCAAACAGATGCTCAATTACACAACCATACATTTTTGAAAAGCAGAAGTGGAGGCCCCTGCACAAGTAGCACGAAAGCAGCAAGTGGATTTTGGATGGTAAGTCAACAGCAAGCGCTTGTCTTTTCCATCACCCATTGTGCTGTGATAAAACCAGCTGACCAAATGTGCTGGAGTACCTCTTGGGTTGCTAAGTGATGGGCGGAACTCTGCTGGGGTTGCTAATTTGTGACGTTACATTCTGGTGCAAAACGTGAATGTGGCGTTATATGTTCCCTTTAAAAAAACAGATTTCTAACCCAGAGCAGCTGCTCTGATGGCTTTTGTCAATCAAACTGCTCTTGTGAATGTTTTTAATGACCTCCAGCTGAACACTGATGGTAGTAAAATTTAAATATTAGTTCTACTCGATCTGAAGACAGCGTTCGACACAGTATATCATGACATTTTATTCTCCCAATTTAAAAAAATTGGTACTTGGTGACTGTCTGATGGAACCTTTTGGCGTCCAATAAATCTAAGCTGAATAACATTATTTATTCCTCAAGGTTCCAACCTAAGTCTTCTCCTTTTCAACATTTCCAAGCATTCAAATTATATGCAATGATAAGAAAGAATATCCAAATTATGTCGATGACACACAGTTGTACATTTGTGTTTTATCAGTAGATTACAGTTAAGTGCAAATGGACGGAATGCATTGAACAGATTAATAGTTGGATGTGTCCATTTATTCCCAGATAAATATAATAAAACTGAATTTTTCAGTTAGCTTAGAATACCAGGAATTTAATGCTAGTCGTGGATCCTGCTCTGAATTTCAACAAGTACAAAACATGGTGACAAATACAACGTATTACCACCTAAACATACTGCCAGAATTAGTCGCCTGATGTCTCAACAGGATTCTGGAAAATTAGTTGATGCCTTTGTTTTTAGCATTCTCAATTATTGCAATGCTGTTTTTACTGTGAGACTATAAAAAAAATCAATGAGACAACTGCCTACTTTAAAACTTTGTTTTTTAGTTTTTTTAATCTGTTTAATTTAAAAAGGCTTCATGTGTTTTAACTTGATGTATGTTATTGACCACTATTTTTAAGCACTTATAAGTGCTGCCTAAATGAGGTTGTTTATCCATCCATCCATCCATCCATCCATCCATCCATCCATCCATCCATCCATCCATCCATCCATCCATCCATCCATCCATCCATCCATCCAACTTTTTCTACACATTCATCCCTTTTTCCATCTAGCGATCCATCTGCCTCATCATTCATTTATCTGTCCATCCATCCATTGGGTGTTTTTTTTTTTTTACCAACTTCTTTATTTACAACATGATCACAGCATAAATATCTACCAACAATATTTATATCTGCATTTTAAAAGTGGTCAATAAACTATTTTTAGAGAATATGGGATCTTGAACAAAATCAAGAATCCTGTTAAACTTTCTTAACTTTTGTATTGCTTAGTTATCAAATGGTAAAATATAAGAAAGCAAAGAACAAGAACCTAAAGGCAGACAACAACTTAAAATTGAAAACATTGCTTTGACATATTAATGTCTGATGTCTTGTTTTACTGGTTGGACAAGGGTCAACTCCATGCTAAAACTTTAATTTAAAAAAAAATTATATATATACCTCAAGGCTGATATCTAGAGATCGATAGGAAAACATGCTTTGGTTTAGTAAACAAAGGGATTCAGTGTCACCAGTGACAACTGAAGGACACATGAGTTTACAGAGCTGGGGTTACATTTCAATAACAATTCAACTGTAATGCAACTATACTTTCTTTAGTCTGCACTATTGCTGTTTACAGTATTATCAGTACATGTTCTGTATCAAAATACTCAGATGTGGCTGTTTTGTATGAATATATTAGACTCAGTCAATTTACGAAATACAAACATTTTAGTATTTTTATGTAGCCGAAGAAGCATTGCTTGTTTGAGTGTACTTAGAATAAAGTTGCAAGGCATCCTGGTGAAATCCGTGCAGCATCAGCAGCCCTGAGGATGCTGTGGCTGCTCGGCGCCGCCGCACCTGCAGTGACGCGCTGCGGCCCGGCCATGAAGGAAAATACCCGCCTGCTGCTGCAGCGACTGTTTTACACTATTTTTCACAGGCATTCATGTTTACTGAGCTGTTACTGCAACCAAAACTGTTGTTTTCAAAGTGGTGACAAGGGGCTCAGGGGATGCACTGCACTGCTACTGAACAGTAAGAAGCTGGTGCAGACACAGCAGTGACCTTGCGCACACCTACCCATGCTTGTCTCAGAGAGCGTCAGTCCGCTGGACTGGAGGCTGTGAGAACGGGGCGGCATCTTGGTTCGGCGATGACTTCTTCTAATAAAATATGAAGAACAACAATCACTACCCGACGACGGATAGAAATCTGAACGACAACGGGTCACGATCGTGATCCAACGCCGAGCTTGCGTTCACTTGCTGTGGCATTCTCTGACAGACAGGACCGCTCTCCGTCTGCCCCCGAGCCCGTCCCCTTCACGTTCCCGCGGCTGCTGCGGTGTCTCTCGGTGTCCCTCCTCTCGATGTGTCGGTGTCGGACGGCAGGTCGGTGGCGCTGCGGCTGGCTGTGTGTGCGCATGTCACACAAATACTAAAAACAACGTACAGCACTCTACAGCCTTCACTTACACTCTTCACGCCAACATTACCGTACGTACGTAAGTGCGTGCGTACGTGCCTTACCGTTACGATGCCTCGATATCCGTTAAATTCGGCTTCCGACGTCATCCGCCATTTTTTCCAGAGCTTTATATTGGGGAATTACACAATCTTAGTTTAGACTTAGAGGGTGAAACGATTCCCCTCAAATAAAAAAATAAAATGCGGAAATTCTTGTGCATTTTTATACCAAACAGTTTTTAAGTTTTAACTTGAAAACGGCGATTTGTGACGGACTAGTTTTCAACCTTTTTAAGAGTAAGAGTTTAGCTTTAAAAATGACGTCGACACTCCGGTAAAACCGCCGTGATTATCCTGTTTTTATGCAGCTCTCTGGGTTTGTTCAGTCAAAATGTTAGGAAAAAGTTTAATAAGTTAAAGGGCGACTCTATTGCCGTGTAGCGCCACCACCTGTCACGAAGACAGTGGTGCACTGAGGGACGAACTGCCGTAAAGGAAAATAAATGTCGGATCAAGGGATTATTATTCTCAAATACACAGAGAGATTAGGGCCACAAAAAAATAAAATTATTAAAAATAATTAGACTTTAATCTCAAGATTGTAATTATAAGAAAAAAAGTCAGAATTTTCAGAAAGATTTGAGATTGAAAGTATAAAATTATAGATTTGTTTTGATATTTTTTTTAAACTTTTTCTTCCTTAAACTCTGACCTCTGTGAAAAAAAAAATGATTCCACAATAACACTTTGTCTATCTGCAACTGATCTAACAGATCAAATTTCTATTTGATATCCATTGGTTTTCTGCTGTATTTCTGGTTCTAGTATCACAATATCAAATAAAACATCAGGTAAATATATATAAGGATGACCCCGTCCCCAGCTGAACCTCTAAAAGTTAAAAAGATAACCACATTAATATTTTAAATGTAGTAGTCCACAGTACTACTACATTAGTCCTGTGGACTAATGTAGTAGTCCACAGGATAGCCTACTACATTAGCATTTCAGCAGTTATTCACACAAATACTTTTGCAGAGACTTCTTCAACAGAGAATTAAACAATATTGAGTGCCAATCACACTCTTTAGTAGTGGAAAATGTTGTCACTTTTTATTTAACTCTCCAACAGATTCTGTTTTAACGCGCAATGCAATACCTCAGCTCAAAATAAAGACGTCTTACACACCAAAGTATATATATTTTTAAAAGATGGTGAGTTTTTTGAGTGAGGATAGTTTGGCCTTAGATTATCCTCGTCTAAACGCATCCAAAATCTAGGTATATGTTTAATTTTATTTTATGTGTTGTTTTTCATACAAAAATACTTTTATTTTGTCCTGAACCATTGAGTAGGACAACACACTTCAGTATACAAATGAAACAGCGCCATCTGCTGTCACATATTGGGATCCTTGCAGAATAACGTCCCTGTCTCCAGTAAACTTGGAAAATAATAATAAAGGCAATTATTTCGAATGTATATAGTAGTGCTGCAAAATATATATTGGATTGTATTTTTATTCAATATTTGACATTTTAAAACACATAAAAGAGGTTTGTTTATGTTTTTGTTTGTTTTTTAGTAGTTTATCTGATATTAATTTCAATTTAGTCATTCAATCTGCACGTGTTGCTTTATTGGAGAGTATCTAGGGCCTGATGTCGGGCTTACAAAACAAAAACAAACAAGAAAAATATGTAAATGCTGCACGCATTGTGTGAAAGCATTTAAAATCGCCATAAAAATACATGCACATGAACACGTGCGCACGTTTTTGCCGCGCAAATCTCAAACAAGGGATTTTTCCATGACGCAATTACTCTTTTCATGGAAAGTGGGTACAGAAAAAAGGACCTCAGAAGTCCCCCTGTCCCACTCTCACAGGGGGTAACAGAACTTTACGTGCCCCGGGTGCAGATTGCCTCGGGATTGAGAACTACATGAACTTTTGATCGTAATTTATGCTGTTTTCCATAACTTCCATGTACTTAATGCAGGAAATGTGTGCATTCACGCATTTGCACAACATTATTTGACGTTTCATTGTAAATTTTTAACATGAACCACATTAGATTGACTAAAATCAATAGAAAGAAATAGATTAAATTAGTTGCACGGATGCTTTTGCGCGCAAACATGACGTAGCCAGTGAGTGCCGGTGTCTTCCCTTGGAATGAGCTGAAAATATTGCATTCAGATTTTATTGGACTCCTTGTCCAGATTTCAGACAATGGCGGGTGGGGTGCGTGTCCAGAATGCAGCGCTGTGATTCAGGGCCTCTGCCAAATCCACTCTGAGACCCAAAAAAAGCTCTGTGCATCCCACCCCCGGGTTTCTCAGTCTAGCGTTTCATTCACTACGATGCGCGCCGAGCTGGAGGAGGCTCTCCGTGCCCGGTCCCCCCTCTGCAAGCCCCGAACTTTCTAATGAAACCCCCACACGCTTTTTGACGAATATTATTGCTCTGTCGCGGGACAAGAAGGCTTTCCGATTAATCAATCAGCATTTTTTTATATTGAGAAGAAAACTCCAGGTAGGTTCTTTCTTTTTTAAAAGTCGTGTCTAGAAGGGTGATTTTGAGAGATTAATTTGCAAAATTAAGTTTAAAAAATTGAATCGTGAGTAAATAAATGCTGTTTTTGTTTATAAAGAACATGGATCCCAGTGCCACAGAAGGGGGAGCTGAGGAGAAGCTCGTTAAAAGTCCTGTAAGTACAAAACAGAAATCCATGTCTCAGATTGAAATTTGGTTATAATCCAATCAATGAATCAACGTTGATTCTTTTGCATGACACTCTGAAGTGTCCTGCGGTTTTTCTGTGGGATCTGTGTGTCCTGGCCTGTGGACGCTGTGAGTCAGTGAGTAACATCTGGATGTGAGGTTGACCCTGCAGCTCGGCTGCGTGCAGCTGCTGCTCCAAGCAGGAGGGTCCCGCTCAGCGGAGGTCAGCTCTCCCAACGAGTGCCACAAGGTCACCAGAGAGTTTATAATTTGCAGAAACAGGGGACAGGACCATCAGTGTGATGTCCATTAACATGCAGAGCACTGTCTTGCAGTTTACATTATCGGTCATACTCGGATCAGGAGGCATGCCAGTTTTTTCTTGCTGCAAAAGAAAATAGGTCGACTGCAGCACCGGGCAGTTTGGAACATGTGCGGTGAGGGCTTTTTCTCTTCTTCTTCTTTCCACCAGCCGCCCAAGGTGATACTCAAACATGGCGTGGAGCTGGAGGAAGAGCAGGAAGAGCTGGCCGAGCACCAGCCCCTGGAGCAGGAGGACCTGAACTTCGAAAGGTGGAAGCGCAGGCCGATTCCCAAACGGACGCTCCACCAGAAGATAGCCGACCTCAAGACGTACCTGTGGAATGCAGAGACCAACGAATTCATGGGTCGCTCCGGCAAGAGCTGGAGTGAGTTGACGAGCCGTAGAAGGTTCTGTGTGCTGTTGCAAAAGTTATTTGTGTTTGTACATGTCTTAGAGATGAGAAACTCCACACAAACTCAGGAGGATGCATGGGGTTTGAATGTTGTCACAAGGCTAAGTTGAGGGTGGGAAATGTTCCTCCACTCCACAGCCTGTGTGTCCTCTTGCTTGATGTTTACATAGGTGCATAGATGATTCAGAGAGTCCCGACAAAAACAGACTGCCTGGGGACACGTCCCCAGCGGGAGGACACGGTTCTTGGCCTCGCATTGGCCAGGAATCAAATTCCTCTAAATCTTACCATGCTCTCCGCTGTCTTGTTCCCAAAGCCTTGGCGACCTCGCTGCTGAACTGAACATTCACAAGGCCCTCAGCTGCAGTAAAACACATAGACGCGCTTCGGCGTTGAGCTCCTATAGACGTCCATCGATCTGGCTTTTGTCTGGTTTACCTCGATTCCCATTACGGATTTTTTGTTTTAGAGACATAAAAGTTTATGAAGCTGTTACAGGTGCCTTGATTGAGTAAAACATGAGCATAAAATGAAATAAGTACAAGAATATTTGCATCAGTGCAAATGTTACTAATGTCTATCTGGTTTATTTTAAGATAGAAAACGCGCAATCAAACGACAACTTACTGCTTGTTGCATTCATGGATGGAAGATAACAGGAGTTCTTAGTTTTCGTGAGATGTTTTCGTATTTGACTTCCCAAATACAAATCAGGAACAATTACAGGAAAATAATCTTATTCTGATAATTGGGAAAGAAATTGTTGCAGGTCTTTTGTTAGAGATTGGAGTTTTGGTACCATTTTACGACAAGACTCTCCTAATAGATGGCTAGTACATAGTTTATAAACACTTTGTAAGTCATTAATAACTGTTTATTATGCATTAATTAAGAATACAAATGCTAATTGTGCTTACAATGTAGCCTGAAATGTTAAATGGAACAACTCCAGGTTAAAATACTTACAAGAAAGGATTTGGCTCACTTGTTAACAAAAAAAAACCCAGAAGATTTTATCTCCTTTTCAGCCTTAATTAATGTAATAAAATCACTTATTAATGATTTATAAAGTGAACGTCCATTAACTTTTCTGATATTCTTTATTACATGTTGGCAGAAAGTCAGAGGGAGCTTTCAGTTTTGATGCATTTCCTGAGAAAAATAAATTGTTCTCTTTTGTATTTGACTTACTGATCAATTGAGGTCATCAAAGGAAATTATCCAATTACAATAAAAAAATTTTTTGAATCAGCAGAAAATGAAGAATTTGCAATTTATCAGATTTTTAAGCTAAAACGTAAAACAATTGCATCAAATTAAATACTGTTGGATGTTTTTACTGTATTTTTACCTATTTAGAAAATATCAATTTTCATTTTATCGCGATCATTAAGATTATTGAAAAATTGAGACGTTTGACATAGACTGAATGAGATTGTTGAGTCATTTATGACATTGAGCTGAAACAATTAATCGATTTAATTGTGATTAATTGATTATTGAAATAATTGTCACCTGACTTAGGAATAAAATAACTGTTAAACTGGAGTATAGAGGTTCTAAAAAAGACTTTTTGCTGAA